TATATATATATGTACTAAAAATGACGGTTTATAATCTGCGATATCATTAATTTCTCAATACATCGATTCTCTCAATCCAGCAATTATTTAGTTCAAAACTCGTTTACATACTATAGTTTCATTTCCCTCATATTTACTAATTTTTAAAACAACTTTTCTGTAAATAAATATCCTTTCTTGAAAACGATATGATATCACATTTTTAGCTGTCAGGTGTAAATTTTCAATCAGAACCTCATATGTTATTCATGAGGGTTCCTAATAATTGCAATACTTGAAGTTATTATTACATAAAATTTGAGCGGGGAAAGTCGACACAAATTGGAAAAGAATGTGAAAGCTTTTTTTTCCTTTACACAAATAATTTCTTTTTTACTAAAAAAAGTCAATTAAACTCAGATCATTCAGATACTCTCTCGTAATGCCACTGGTGACAATAGACGTTGTCTTCTCCCGAGTGGGAGTTTGTGGGCTTGTGCATAGTCGCGCTGGCTAAATTAACCTTTCTTGGAGCCTTGACGCGAGCACCACCCCCGACGCGACGCGACGCGACGCGGAGGGGAAGGGGCAGCGCAGGGTGCGTGGGGCGCGGAGGCAGCGGGGGCGGAGTGGAGGCGGGCCGCGCACCGTGTCAGACGCGCGATAACATCGCGGCGGCCCTCGGTTCGAGGCCGGCGCGCACCCTCCTCTGGCGGCCGCCCGGCTAATTAACGGCGCGCAGAGTTACGAGCGGCGGCGGCGGCGGCGGGAACGGCGCAGGCGGCCCGCGCGGGGGCGGCTGGTGGTGGCTGGGGGCGGCTGGGGTCCTGCCTTGTGCCCTTCGCTGCGGTCATCTCACCCCCTCCCCCTTCCACGTCCGTCACTCACTCCGCGCACGCCCGCCACCCGGAAATTCGAATGCAACACTCAAACCACCGGCATTGCAAAGGCACCTCCGACACTTTCGCAATAACGTTTTTCGTAATCGCCAAGTGATGACATTTACAAACAAGTATTCTATCAAATCTAATACCCATTATTGTTATCGTAGTCGATTGGCTCCCTTCAACTAAACTCAGTCTGCTGTTGTACAGGTATTTTACAGGTATTATTATAGCCTCGTTTCGTCTTGCAAAATATTTACTTTCTAGACCCAGCAAATTCATGTGATTCCGCGAACTTCGTCATCCTGACCATACACGTTCCTTGTATGTCTCCTTCAGTATTCGATCTATTCGTCCTATTTATCGTCTCATAGTGTCCCCTCATATTTTCCCATCTGTAGCAATGAACCTCCTAATTATTATGTTTACCCTTAATATTTAATTTCATCGTCTTTTTTCCTTCCGATGGGTTAAATCATCTATCCAATTTTGCATGTTTCTTCGATAACAAATTATAAATTCACGCATAACACATATCACACGATTATACTCTATTCGGCGAACCATAAAACATATAGGTGTTTAATTATACAGCATTTGAAAAATAATAAAAAATATATACCTCTGAAAACAAATGCTTAATTCAAAACAGGAGAGAGGTCTATGAAATTTAGAAAAAATATTGATTCTAGTGCATAATCTCCATAAAATTAAACGAGAGATATATCACTGCGATTCAAACGTCTTGATTACTTGAAATGCGAACTTAGTCTTCATAGAAAGTATGCTAAAATAAGTGGCCAAAGGAAGGAAAAACGCTAGTGTGCAATGTTTAGATAATGGGTCCAGGATCAGCGAAAATTGACGATTCTGAAAAGGCACACGTGGAATCTAGCATATTTTCCTCGTCGCATGACGTCAGCTCTGTCGTAAGCAATAACGCACCGACTATGATACTATAATCGAAACATCAGGAATGCGAAGTTGTAGATACGAAGTCAAATATTTTCTTTTTTCAATCAAAATCCTCGATATTTAACGAAACAATCTAACCTTTCACATCGTGACAGGCTGCTTAGTGTTCCAATTTATGAACATATTCCAAATTAGCAATATAGATTTGAAGTCGTTCCTGCAGACGTTAAACCGGCTTAGAAGGCTCAAGTGATCAACTGACGTCACTGCAGTGCCTCTGACCAGGAGGTTCTCGGGTTCCTCTACCGACGATGGCAGGAGTTTTGATACTAGCTGTTTAAGAAGGTCAAATTCAGCCGCTGCCTGAAGGATATTTCTAGCGGTCTGCTCCTTTGATCGGTAGTTTTCCGTGGTTTCTACCAGCAACACCAGACGAATGTCGGAGCAGTACTCTAACAAACGGGCCACGAACCCCGGGCAATCTTTCCTACCTTTTCCTTATCCTATCTTCACCCCTTTCTTACACTCACACACACACACACACACACACACACTTATATGCACTACACTACCACATTTGTTGGCAGACCTGTCGGGAGCTTACAGATTAACCCGGCTGGGGCGGTGTCCAGCTTGTGGGATATATCTGATTGACCCCGCGATCCGACGGGTGGGTAGGTGCCGGATCTCGCCATCTACCGGGGGAAGATCACCGCAACCTCGCGAGGAAAAAACGTGCACTACAGTTACGGGACTAAGTGAGCACTTGACGCGCCCGGAATCACTAATGGATCCATCAACTCCAGAACTTTTTTACGAACGAGGTAATAGCTCCGTCGTCGTCCGTTAGCCCGCCGCGCTCCGCCCCCGCGCGCACCTGGCGGCCTCCGCCCGCCGAGGGAGGATGCAGCGCC